TATAATCAGGAGGAAAGTTGAGCTCCAGAATTCTCTGGGATTGTAAACAGGCTTTGTATAAAAGTATGTGTAGAATGATGAGAACTGTCAAAATCTAATCTTAGAAAATAAATGCTGTATTTTCCTTTTCTGGGGAGAAAAGACGGTCATGTCTAAAAAACGTCTCGGACCTGTTTGTGATGGGAGGAGCTCTTGTTCTAGAATCGGCAGCTCTTTTGCACTGGCTAGAGAGAGAAGGCTATGGACCACTAGGGATGACTGGAATATCCATGGGAGGACATGTAAGCTTCTATATTTCCTGTTCAGTAATTTTTGTTTTAACTTCTCATTTGATCATTTAGCATATGGAAATAATTTGTTTTATAGTGTTCCCCTCAGAAGTACTTCAAAAGAAACATTTAGAGTCGTGAGACAAAAATTATTGGCAATTCTAATGTGCTGTGGTGCTGAATCCTCATAGAGCCCTTTGTCAGCTATCTTGTGACAGGCTTAATAAGAATATAAGCTATAATTCTGGTATTTTCCACAAGGAGAGGGGGGAGAAATACCTTCTGAGAGAAGGTCTGTACTGATCAATTGATGTTTCTCCTTCTTTTCCTCCATCCTTCTTGTTTAAACTTATGTGTTTGAATGCACTGTGTGAAATTCCTTCTCTTTGTAGGCATGTTGTAATTGAGGTGACTTTTGGTGTCAGTTCTGTTCTCAAGTCATCTTGTTTTCCCTGATTGATCAGAGAAGATTTCTGTGGTGAAGTGAATAAGATTTTGTGTATCACACTGTGCATATTCAAACTAAACCATCAGTGTGTTAGTAAGATGCTTGAACGACTAATCATAGTTAAAATATTGCTGCTTGTGTCTTTTCATATAACCATTGGTCTGTGAGACATAGGTACAAAGCATATTAAAACAACATACCACTGTTTTTCTCTTTGTTTTGGCACTGTGTATTTGTTTGATTCTGTATAAACAAATAAATTGAAGGTAAAAGAGTACTTTTTACCATATTGTGAATTCTATATAAAAATATGTAATAAGTGCCTTTGATTCTAGATGGCTTCACTGGCAGTGACAAACTGGCCTAAACCATTGCCGTTGGTCCCGTGTCTTTCCTGGTCAACAGCTTCTGCAGTCTTTACTACGGTAATTAACATGGTTTTGTTCATATGCTAGAATGTAATCAGATGTGTAATTAAGAAGTTGGCTTGGCCACATTTACCTTTTCGGCTAGGGCATTTCATCACCCTTTGGCCTCTATTAGTGACTAGTGGCAAAACCCACCCTTCCTGCTCAGGATATACAGCACATGATAAGGAAGGTAGCTTGGAGCTACTTCAGTGGGTCATGTACCAAATTAGGGGCTGAGGCTTGTTTGTGGGACAGTGATTAGAGTCCTGCTCTCAATTGTGAGGTGGTGAGGAAGCAAGCCATGAAAACATATTTTCTTCTGTTCCAAGCCTGGCTTAAATAGTTGGGTAACAGTGCTGCTACTACCATGAATGGTATCCTTTTGTCACTACTGCTGCTGAGACAGGTGAATGAAAAGACTGGCTTTGACACCCATCATTGGTTTAGCACAGTCTAGATGTGTGTAAACCCTACATGGGACTGTTTTCTGCCTTCTTTTTCCCCCCTTTGTTGTTTGGTTGGGTTTTTTTAAGGGAGGTAGGTTTCCATGTCATATGTTATAAGAAGTGCTTATGCTTAAATCACAATATATCTAAGAGTTATCTGGAAACCTGAGCAGAATTCCACTGGAAAAATCAAGTCCCAGAGAGGAACAGATCAGTTTTGTGTGTATATCATTGAGAATGATCTCTGGGTTTTACTTGTGTACCAGACACTTGTGTTTATCATCTCAGGGTGTGCTGAGCAAGGCGGTGAACTGGAGAGAGCTAGAGAAACAGTATTTTACACAAACTGTTTATGAAGAAGAAATCATTCAAATGCTTGAGTACTGTGGAGTAAGTAATAGTTTATTTTCGCTATTGGCTAATACTGCTAATCTTACAAATCATGTAACTTCTTTTTACTTCCAGTAAAAGCAGCCAATTGTTAACTAGACCATGTTTGCCTGTTGTTTCCGTATGCCTTTGATAAATTTAATCTTTGAAGGAAAGCCTTCTGAAAACCAGAGTATTTTGTTTGTGCGATGTGTGTTAAGTATAGACCTTGCTACAAGTTTTTTCCCATGATTACATTGAGTGTAATCTGCAACATAAAATTAATTTAATCAGAACATTGACACTGTAGATAACATTTCCCAGTAACTGGCTTTATAGTCTGGAAAACCAATAGCCTGGCGTGTAAATGTTAAAACATGATTTATTGCCCTTTGAAGCAATTGCTTCCAAATATTCAATGCTGTAGAATATTTTAATATGTAGCAACATTAAGTTACTTTTCTAGTTTATTTAGAGTGCTAGGCCTTTCTATTTCTGTTTTTATGGATGATGTTAGCCCTCCCTCAGCTTTACGCTTCTAATGCACAGGCATTTGGGATACCCATGAGGGAGAGCTTTGTAATGAGCTACTTCCTCCTTACAAAATATAGTTTATTGTCTGTGTATTGGTTCTTGCTTTCTTCTTGACTCTTTGACAAGGGTTGAAAGGCTTTTCCCAAGGGGAATTTTGTTGCTTCATGGCTCTTTTAGGTCGGAGTGATAACTTTTTGAGAATTGCTTGTATGTTGCAACAACGTCTTCTAGCCAGTTCTGATAAATAACTTTTCCTAAGATTCTCTGCTCTATGACAGTCCTTTTTCATTTATCTTATGACTGGAGAAGAGGGGCTGGGGTGGAGATAGTTACTTAGGCACTTGCCATTTTAAGTAAAATACACTCCAGGAAGGCTGATGGGGCAGACAGAAATGAAATACTTGACGATGTTCAGCTTGTGTCTTCCTACTGGTTAGAGACAGTAGATTTTTGAGTCCTAAACCTAACATTAGACCTGGTCACGTATGTTTATTGCCCAGAAATTAAGCTGACAGCAAGGTAGAATGAAATTTTCAAGAGATTATAATGATCAGGAATTAATTGAGTGACATGCTGGAAATAACAAGTACTGTGAACAGTGCTGTTTATATATATATATTTTTTTTCCTTTTTATTAATATTGAATTGATCTTAAAAATGAGATTAAACAGCTGGTTCAAAGGGAAAACCCTTAATAAATGACTGGTTGTCTTTGTTTAGACAGATTCCTTCAAGATGGGACAAGACTTTGTTAAAAACTTCCCTGACAGCGTGGACAGTCTGGAGGATGTGGACGTGGCTTCAAGAATGTTCAACCTTGATTCCTCAAGCAAAACTGTATCTAAAGAAGCTGTTCACAGCTTTACCACAAGTAAAAGTACTCTAAGTGCCTCATCAGAAAGACTCTTAGCACAGGATGCTTCTAAAATGCAGTGCATAAATCAAACATTTTCAACCAGTAGCAATAGCAATAAAAACTTAACCAGCTCACAAGAACACAGGATAAATAAAAGGAGAAAAAGTGACACTTTACAGAGAGAATCCTTAAGGTTCATGAAAGGAGTAATGGATGAATGTACCCACGTAGCTAACTTCCCAGGTATGTATTTAGTTGTTTCGATGTGCAGTTTGGAAAACTGAATAAAATATGATGGACGGAAAGGTGTTTTCTTCATTCTCTGTTGTGTAAACCTGCTGGCACCTTAGCTGAAATATGGAAATATCTTGAGAGTTATTCAGTAGCATCTCTTTACCACTCCATTTCCTAATTGTTTTTCTGTTTATTCTTAATGGCCAACTAATGGTAAAGGGAAGTAAAAATTTGCCTTTCAGTACCTTTACTCATTTTTAGCCTGCATTGCTGTTGCTATTTTCAGATATGAGTTAGTGCACATTAGTAGTATTTAACAGAATAAAAAAATGTGTGATGTGAGTAATATCCAGAGCTGGCTAATCTCCTAACACGTTCAAGTAAATCTTGTAAAGCAGAAATCTGTTACTGATTTCAGATAGAAAGTAGCCTAAAAAGGTGAGAACCAAGCTTGGATTAAACAGGTGTGACTGGTAAAAATACATAGAAGTTGCTCTGGGGCTATGCAGCCTAGTTAATGTTGTGTTTCCCAAGGCAGGCATAGAGGGAGCTGTAGCCCAGCAATCCTTAAATCTCATGAACCTGGGTTTCCTTTCGCCCGGGACAAATCCCTTTCGATGGCCCAATTGCAGGCAATGCAAACAAATGATTTCTTCCTGTTGCTTATTGAAAGAGTTTTGCTGGGGTGAAGACTCTCAACATGCCCTAGAAACATACTTTGACTTCAGGCATGTTTCTAACAGAGCTGTCTCTGAATGTCAAAACATTCTTGATACTGAGACTCTGTGCTACCTCATTTTTTGGTTTGTCAGTGCATCTCTTAACTAAAGCATTGGCCTTTCTTGAAACCTAAGAGGATCTGTGATCCCAATCCACTTGTCCTTTGCGTCAGCTGTCTCCCAGGTCTCCCCATGCTTCTGGAGACATTGCATCCCCTGCCAGCGTATCCTTGGAGTATGTCTAGAGAAGAGCTTCAGGAAATCTGCCTAGCAGTCAGATTTCATGGAATATTGAATGGAAAACTAGAATCTGTCTTAGCATTACATATCCTCTATACATGATCTAATACACATGAAAGGAGAGGGTCTGAATTGTTTGTGACTCCTTGTTGTCAAGCATCTTGGCTGGTCACTCTTTTATCATACTACGTATATTCTTTGTGAAGAGAGAGCTGCCCTGTGTTCAACATCGTTTTTGTGTTATTTTTCTCAACATCATTTTGGTGTTATTCCTGTTAGTAATCTGATTAATGCAATTTTGCTTATGAGTAATATCTGTATGTATGTTGGGATTTTTATGCTGTAACTAAAACATGCAGGAAGCAAAAAAAAAAAGAGTGAACACACACTGCACTTCGTCCTCTCATATGAAAAGTTGGCGTTTTTCTTCGTGAGGGAAAAAGATGATACAGAGCTCCTACTCTATTGAATTTCAGATGTCTCCTAGTTCTTTTTGCTGAAAAGATGATCTCGGAGAACTCACCTGATTATCGCAATAGAGTTTTGTTGATAAGATGAGAAGAAAGACAATTCTCATATAATTCTCCAAAGACTTGTGAAATTGTCTGCTCTAAGGAAGGGAAGGGGATTCAGTAGTTTGTTTTTCTACTGATGGCCTCTACTGTAATGTCAGAAAACAGATAAATTCCATTGGAGACTTTAGAAAATATAATTTTATTAAAGCTTAGAATCATTCAAATTTTTTAGAAATAGAGAGCACTTTAAAAACAGAAATCTCAGCTGACGTGTTTCTGTTTCTTACCTTTGATTAATTCAATTTTGATTTGTTTTTTCTTTAGTTCCAGTTGACCCAAGTTTAATCATAGTTGTACAAGCAAAGGAGGACGCATATATTCCTCGAACTGGGGTGCGCAGTCTTCAAGAAATCTGGCCCGGATGTGAAATTAGGTATCTGGATGGAGGTCATGTCAGTGCCTACCTCTTCAAGCAAGGCCTCTTCAGGTAAGGTCAACAGGGAAGTTTAAAAATAATTGAGAGCTTAATCCCTTAATTTTGAGACACAACATTTGTTTTCTAAAAGCGAGTCCATAGTTGCTCTCAAGCAATGAATATCAGATACTGATTTGAAGAACAAGTTATCAGATCTGAAATTATTAAATACTTGTGCTGTTAATTTCAAAATATAAGGAATTAGTAAGGCTGTACGTCATGTTTAGGAGGTCTAAGCAACAACAAAAAGGAATAGCAATATACCGGGTCAAAGGATGCTAACTACTAGCTTGATGCTGTTTAAAACTTCTGAGCCTTATTTGCTCAGAAATTACAAATTATGCACGTCTGTCCTAATCTGTTAACATTTGCACTTGTATTAAAGTTGATGAACAGTCCCACTCATTCCTGAAACATATTTACAGAAGTGAAAGAGAAGGGGAAAAAACTACCTAATATCTCATTCTTAGTGAATGCTGTTTTGAAATGGTGATGATAGCTTTGTAAATATATTTGTAAATATATAGAAATACACAACTTCTATCTGCTCATTCCCAAATTATGCAAATTATCTTTTTTTTCCTCGTTTTAGACAAGCAATTTATGATGCGTTTGACCGCTTTCTTCAGAAATATGCAGTTTGAAAATCTTCATATTGTATTCAAACTGATCTCATCTTCCACTTACTGGAACTCATATTTGGAAAAGAAGCCTCTTGCAACATTGAGTAGATGGTCACTGATTTTGACTGCTTTAGGTAACAACTATCAAAAGTGGTAAAGTACCAGCACTACTTTCATTTCAACCAAATGCCATTCTGACACGCTTGCTTCAGCTTTACCCGTGAAAAACAAACGGCAGTATTTGTTAGTGCATGAACGGTTCATGTACATCATATTTAATCGCGTTGTGTGTTCCTTTAATTGTGAATAAATTCTCAATTGTGTATCAGTTGAAAACAGACCGCTCTAAGGTATTGAAAGAATGTACAATTTGCTGTTGGGCCAAGGTGCTTCCTTGCGCTCAGTGTATTTCTGGTTTGTTCCACATACCTCTTGCTTCCTTGTCCCCTTGCTATCCCTATTGTGTTGTAGAATGGCTTTGCCAGCACTCAGCCTCTTGTGTATGTCACTGATTTTCTCTGTTATGAATTGAAAATGAGCTGTAATAGAAAAGGTAGCAAAAAGACACTTCCAAAATTCAATGCAGAGTGAGAGATATTTTCATTCATGGGTCTATGAGATTTTTCTGCCTCTGAATTAAACGGTGCCATTCTGGAAGAATCATGTAGCAATTTGTTGATCAGTTACACAGGACCGGAATAAGCGAAAATGGAGTGTTTAGTAATTAATTGTTTACATGCAGTCCATTGGGTAACACAAATGTGTTCTTCTAGATTTGTTTTTAGAACACTATAGGAAATTAAAATGTAATATTTTTTATTTAGGAGCAGTGGCACTAGGAGTCTGATTCCAAGCAGTAAACTCAGCAGCAGATTATATGGTGCTATAAAGACCTGTTGGAAATATTTCAACAGAGGTCCTTTTTTAAGCGTACTCAGTGCTGATTTGCAAAATACAGTTTCACAGTAACATTAAACATGCATGTGAGACTAAAGGTTATCAAAACATCCAGGTTAGCTCCTTATTTTTCAACACTGTTTGTTTTTTTTGTTGTTGGATGGAAAATGGAAAAAAAAAAAGTATTATAAATATGTTTAAGAAAATCTAAAGTCTGTTGTTTCCTCTTCTGGGGATCAAAAGTGCCAACAAATTACAGTAGAAAGAAAGGTTGTCATGCATCAGCTGTCACATCTTATTTCATGGTAATCTCCTCTAACATTCTTTTAAAGCTAGTTTGCAGAGAAGTTGCAAACTGAAACACTTCAATATTGATTTTAACATGGTAATGACCAGAGTTGCACAGAAACAAACAGGAAGATCCAGCCATTTCTTGGGGTATGTGACTACTACGCCTTTCAAATCCAAGTACTTCATTGATCTCTGTCGTTAGCATAAGAGTTTTTAATAGGCAGAGTATGAAGCAAACACAACTCAGTTTGCATAAATATATTCTCTTGAATTTAGTCTGGCAGACAGGACTAGTAACTGGGAAGAAGTCATGGTTCACTTGAAGGTCAGATAAGTTCAGGTAAAACTGAAGTGCCACAATTTGTAATAACCCAAATTATTTAACATACAAATTTACTGAAAATGCAGAAGAATTTGCATTCTGTTGGAAGTTAGGTTGCTTCTTTCAAGTGTGATTTCATCATTTCTTTACACATTCTTATGTTTTATATATATTAGGAGCAAGTGTGAAGTGACTAGCACATTTACATATAGTAAAACACAATGTCGGAAGGTTAGAACTCAAATCTAAGTAAGCTTACAAATTTGAAATTGAAGACTTGAATACTATACTAAAAGATTTATGGGGTTTACGTTTTACAAGCTCATTCATCTACTAAGGGTGTTTTACAAGACCATTGTCTGCTGTTCACCAGCTTGTTTAGATCTCACATTGTAAATGTATTTGTGTGCTTTATGTCCTGTTTCTGTTGCAGCCATGAGAAAGGGAGATAACCGGTGGCAAGGGAAAGTGCATGGATAGATGAAAAAGACAGATTTTGTAAGGAGAGGAGTAAGCACAAAAAACATCAACTTTTCTCTGTGCTACAAAAATACAACATGCAAAGTAAATATTTTCAAAGCGCACAATACTAGGAATTACACAACTGATGGGAACTTGACACCCTGAGGTTAGTGTTGTGATGATATTACTAACAAGGTTTCAATGGCCAAAAGGGCATGCAACTCACAGAACCAGATTTATGCTAAGGTGACTCCTGCTTGTGAGAGTGTCTTTTGGGCTAAGTAGTGAGAGACTGGTCTCTGAGAAGAGTGACAAATCAGACTTCGCTATGTGACTGAAGTAATGTTGCCAAATATGAAAGCCCAGTAAGAAGCATTTAAGAAATTTCTCAGGTTAGAATAACAAGAAGGAAAAATGAGCTCTATGATCTATTCCTGCAATTATTAGTCACAGGAAGCTATTAGCTGGTCTGGGAAGGGGAGAATACTGCTGTGTAAATGTTTTTAACCTTTGGAAATTTGACTTTTTAAACCAGATTTTACGATTAAATCCTAAGAAATCATAATTGTTAATCCACTTTGATGTTGAATGAGAATGTGATTTTTAATCCAGCAATTGCATGAGAAAAATGTTGGAATAAGGTTCCTGCACTGAATCCAAAGAGCAGGTAGGCCATCCTGTGTGTCTTGAATTTATTGTAAAACTGGCCTTGATCATTTTTGTTTTAATGTTTTTCAATAAAAATCTTAAAAGAAAAAAAACACTTAGGTGTGATTTCTTTTTGTTTTACTTTCTTACTAACAGGAATTCAGAATGCATCTCACCGTCATCCCGTAATCCGTTTTATTCCTACTAGTACTGTGTAGCACAAGAAGAGTAGTTAATCTACAGTACAGGATAAGCTTCACATAACAAACAGTGATAACTGCTTTCATGGTTTTCTACATGCTGTGCCTAATAAAGAAAACAAGCTTGTATCATCTAATTAAGATACCATTGTCATTCCACATTTGTACTTTTCACTGGCTTCATTATACTGGAATTTCCTGCATTAACTTAAAATCCCTTCTGCTTTTAAAAGGGTCTAAAATCTGTACATCTTCCGGCTTGCTGCTGTGTTCCGAGAAAGGGTGTGTTGTATCACAATGAACTCAGAGCACGGAGTAGGACTGTCCAGCAGTAGCTGAAAAAGTGACCCTTGCTGCTGGTGGTTGCTATTGCAAGGTGGGACAGTGGTGGTCGGGTTTTGGAGTGCTGCTGCTGGAAGACATGTACAGGAAAGGGAGTATCATATGCTAGCTGAAAGGCTGCTTCAAACAGATAGCTGTAAATGTTACTGGCAGCCGCATCTTTGGGGGTCAGTTTTATTTTGGTGCTCAGTAGTGCTGTCTAAAAAGTGAAGGCTGTGGTAACACCTCTGTGTACTAAGACTGACAAAACATGAGGACAAACGGAGTGGGTAGTGCATTTTGTCTACATTTGAAAGGAACGTCTTAGGACAGAGAGGAAGGTTAGGTCTGGTGTGTTACTTGTGAGTAGCTCAGGTAGTTTTAGTGTTTAGTTTACATGTTTCTCTCCTGGCACCTGAGTGCTGATCACCATCTAGAACAGAATGTGTCTAATCATTGTTGAATGGAGCCTTTTGTAATTAGTTTTTTCCTTAACATGAAAAAGATACCCCTCAAAAGTGACTAGTCAGCAACACTTTTTTATTTCTTAGCAAGGATAGATCACTGCAAAAAGGTACCAGTACATGGAAGAATGGAGCCTTGTTGCTTTTTCTTGCAAGAATGTCATATCGTTTCATGACCCATCCCTGGCAGTGTTCAAGGCCAGGTTGGACACAGGGGCTTGGAGCAACCTGCTCTAGTGGAAGGTGTCTCTGCCTGTCATAGGGGGTTGGAACCAGATGAGCTTTAAGGTCCTTTCCAACACAAACCACCTATGATCCTATGTGTATGGATACTTTTTAAGATTAGAAAGTGAAAATCCTTGGAGCCTCAGAATGCTATTTTTGCTTAGTAGCTGCTAACATTTTGAGACAGGGGTTTTTTTGTTTGTTTGTTGGTGTTTTTTTTAATTTATCTTAATTGTTTGTCTTGTGTAACTTTAAAAAAATGTTGATCTTAATTACATTTGGCTGGGCAGGGAAGTTTCTTTATCTTGACCTGTCAGGCTGTCTGTCAGCTTGGCTGTAATGATAAGTTGCACACTATTGAAAGGAGGTTCCTATAGTCTGTAGGCATGTAACTCCTCGTGAAAAACTATGCCATGAGTAAAACACTACTACGTTATGCAATCCTGTAGTTCACAGTGTTTCCTGGTACACTTCTACACAAGGTAAAACATCAACGTTAAAACGTAAAGCAGCTTCTAACGCTTGTTACTCTCTTGGTTGGGGTAGTGTAAATGAGCTGCTTTTCAAACGTGACTGTTTTAAATGCTGTGCCCAGGAAGTCTGACTTGCCCTGCTAGAAAATAACAAGAGGGATGATACAGAGTGGACAAAGAGTTACTGATTAGTTTTGCGCAACTGTTAAAGCTTTTTACACACTCTTCAGGCCCAGTCCATCCAATGAAGTATTCAGTAAGCCTTCTACTACCACAAAGTTAGCAAAACAACTATACATAAAAACTTCCCAAGCTGCCACATTACTAGTCACCTTTACTGTGGTTTTGGGGCTGGTTTTCTTGGTTTGGTTTTTGGGGGTGGGGGGTGGTTTGCCCCAGCATACTTAATCAGTTTCTTGGGTTTTTTCCTGGTCTGTTAAGGTTCCTGCACTGCAGTCCTGCGGTGTTCCTCAAGTCCCAGCTGGCCTACACGTTTGCTTCCTTATCTGCTAACACTTGCACAAGAAAAGGAAACAGGAGGTTAATCCCCTTTTTACCGGCCTCTGTACTTTCAGATCACACTAACCCCTGCTTTACTTCTCAGTCTTACACGGGAAACCATGTAAAAGATGTGAAAGTTGTTTGGAACAGGTAGTGTGGCTGATACTCCTGTTTCCAGGAAAGTAGATGTAAACATATACAGATATTGGCTGTTTTT